TATAGCATCAACAATTTACGCAGTGCTTTCACATACATATATATTGTACATTTACATCAGTGCCTGCCTTCAAGGAGCTTACAATCTAACTGTATAACAGTTTTGACAGAGGGATTTGAGGAATAAGAGAGGAACATTCACTATAAATGATGGGCATTTGGAAGCTAAGACTTAACTGAGTGGCAACCACAGCCCTTTTGCATTTTTATGCAATGTGATATGAATGTTGTAGAATTGTATTTTGATTATATACAGTGCTGAGATCATGTATAAAGCCCATAAGTATATCTGCACATATCACAACAGAATTATAATACAATAATGTCCATTGGTCAGTTCATGTTAAGAGGTAGTGACCAAAATCTGTATAAAGTGTAACAAAACTAAAATATGATGATGCCCAGCTGTTGTCCTGTTACAGTTCCAGGGCCCAACATGTTTTAGAAAGTTTTTTCGATTCCATATTGATTCTAATTGAAATGTAATATTGTGCATTCCAGTGTTCAATTAATGATTTCTCCTTAGAAGAACTTGGACTTACAATATCTGGTGATCTTGCCATGAAACCCTTTTTAAGGAACTTCCCACTATGGGGGAGTTTCAATTATTTGTGCTCTTGCACTGTTACTTTAGCATATGCACCTGTCAAAGACACTAAAAGTAGTCAGCACAAGTGGCATAGGTGTGGACTACCATCATCTCTTAAAGTAGAACTTAAGTCAGAAAATTAAGTCCTGATAGATTACTTCAGGCTGTCCCCTTTTGTAGGTATAGCTATGTAAAACGATAAAAAATAAGTGGATAAACTGTTTAAAATCCATTAAGGCACTGTCTCATCCTACTTTGCATAGCCTCAGCTGCTCTCTATTCTTTTCACTGTATCTAAAATCAGTGAGTCAGTAGAGGTCAGTCTGGCAACAGCTTTAAGATTTACTGAGGGGGAGGAAACAGCAGGAATAAGACAGACTGTGTCAATGGAGAGGGAGGGAGAAAAGAGGAGATGTGACAGGATGAAATTTTGCTGCCAGGAAGACACAAAAGAGTTAAACTTTCAAGAATAGTGTCTTATCTTCTATTATTCTATTCATTGTCTCTCTGCATTGGCATTCTGTGAATCTGAGCACTGATAGCTACTGCAGCCTTCCCCTCTAGCTGAGCAAAGACATACAATCAAGGCTGGAAATGCACATTTTAATTACAGAACATGGCATATAGTTTTTGAGACTAAGTAGAGATCAGCGTTTTCAATAAGGAAGTGACTGTTCTGGGCTTCAACAAAATGGTGACCTCCAGCAAGAAGTAACAGGAGCAATGCTGGAGGCAATTTACAGCACACTCTAATTTTGGTAGCATAATATGTTCCTTGCTTAAGAACATAATCTTTTATCAAGCTGTTATGGGTAAAGTTCCACTTCATGTTGGCCATAGATGGATCGAAATTCCCTGCTGAATCAGCCAAATTTCAATCCATGTGTAATCATTCCTGTTCGACAGAAGGTGATCAGTTACTACAGCCAATTGACTGCTGCAGGGGAGAGTCCCGCTGTCAGATTACAGTGTCCCGGAGAATTCCTCCAATCCACCGTGGATGGAGGAATCTGTTAATATTTTTTCATTCAGCCTCATGGCTGAAAAAAAATCACCTAAAGGCAATTAAAAAAAAAATAACAAGTATGTCATACTTACCTGCTCTGTGCAGTGCTTTTGCACAAAGCAGCCCCTTCTCGGGTCCCCCACTGGCACTCCTGGCCCCCTCCCTCGTGCCAATTGCCCCAGGGCTTTGTGAATGCGGTGAGGTCTCCCTTTACAAAGAATATCCAATTACTTGCAAAGAAATGGAAAAACATTGCATTTTGCCTGCACACGATTGGATGATGGAAGTTAGCAGAGCTTGACTTTGTTCTCTAAGCTCTGGGGTAAATTCCCTTGCCAAGGGAAACTTTACTTACAAAGTGAATGGCCTGTTTGTCTTTATTAAATCAACCCCACAATGTCATCCAGTTAGGATTTAGATCTTCTTTAAGCTCCACTAACAATGGCAATAAATGCTGTCCATGCCAAGCGAAATAGCACAAGATGTTATGAAATCAGTTAAATATTTGGATGTGACCTGCTGCTTCTTTCAACATTCACGTCTGTTCCCAACTGGGTTTCCGGCAATGAAGTGACATAACTTATAGTGATTATGTCTTGTGTTCTGTTTTATAGAATATGCAAAAAAGAATAAAAAGGGGCCCAGCAGGAACATTGAAGAGTGTGAATCTCATACAAAACTTTTATAGTCTCTTTGCAGAAGCAATCTTAGTTTCTTTGAAAGTTGCCTAAGAGATGACTAGCCTTTCACTCTTGGCTGGTTGGCTGGTTGAAAAGGTCTCCTTTCAAATTCTTGGAAAGATGTATCCGGGAACATAGCTGATGACTCCATCTTACCCAGCAAACGAGCCAAGGACAACTTTGTAATCCAAATGCATCCCAGAGTGCCATAGGAAAATGACTTGGTTGGGTTTTTTCAGCATTGGCCAATTTAAAATGTGCCGGAGACACGCTTTCCTTGACAAGCTTTTCATAGGCTGCTATTCAAAAGAACACAGAATCATTTTTCTTGCATTTATCAAATCTGCTTCAAGTGTTCCCTTTGATCAAGCTCAATCTCTGATTCTTTGTATGGATTGACTGCTTTATAAAAGCGCTATGAACCCTGTCTGTGTTTGGCTGCATGCAAATCAGAGCTAAACAAAAGGAAATGCAAAAATCTAGCAAGGTGTCAATGACAGCAAGGTAATATTAATTATTAGCATTACTGCTTTATACCGTGCCAGCGTATTCCATAGCACAGTATGGAGTACGTAATAGGCAAATGTAACAATTATATAACTAAACTTCTGAACAAAAAAAGACACAATATGAAAAAGATCCAAACAGGAAAAAGCTTTATAAACTCTAGACAAATGGGAAGACTTTTTTTCAGTTTCAGTGTATATTCACTTAAAAGAATATAAAAGCTTATTTTTTTAAGCAGTGGAAAATGAAACGAAGTCTTAAATTCCATTGACATGTAATGAGAAGAGGTGAACTCACTGGTGAGCAGACTGTGACCCTGGGAGAGACATAGGGCAAAAGTAGAAGGGGGTGTAAGTTAGGATTTATTAAATAGCCAGTATTACTGATAAAGTAAATGCAAATCCAAAGAACAGAAGGCCATGAGAAGTCAGATGCAACAAAACAACAAGCAACATCTAATTTACTCAACTCTTCATTCTCTGTAAATACTTTGTACATTAGCTGAATTTTCACATCAGGCTGATAATGACAGTTCCTTGGTGCTGAAAATGAGCAGAAGGGCAGGGCAGCAGTGACTGAAACAAGTCATATCTGTTGATTCTTCTGTCTGTAACTATTCTGTAGCCCATGGTACAATAAGGAGAATGACAGACTGGATTTTTTTAGTGTCCAGATGTGTTTCTTTGTTGTGACCAATAAAAATCTAATATGTTTAGGGACTTTACAAGGCCCCTTCCATTAGAGATTAAGGATACTGCATAGAGAGTTATGAATGGTACTTTAACCTCCCTAGAGGTATGATTATTTCAGATTTTTGGTGCTGAAAGCGGTACCATTTTCTTGCATGGAAATATGTATTTTTTTTATTGTAGGCTGTAATTTAGGAATAACTCACTGAAATCTGTCCGAACAAGAGTCTAGTAAACATTCCGGATATGATAAAACTTGAAACACAAAATAACAAATTATAATTTAATAAATAATCATAAAAAATAATATAATATTAATAAATTTAATTAATTCAATAATGTAATCAAACCAAAAACACTGAAATTTGAAATATAGCGCCAAGTTCGCACATCGCTGAGCAAAGTCGCAGAATCGTTTTCAGTGTCTGATGACGAATTTCCCCACGAATCATTATCGCTCAATTCTGCAAGTGGTTCTGATTTACTATCGCTGTTCTCTAGCTGGTCTAAAACTGCTTTTGACATAAAGGGACACTTTTTGGACGCCATGGACTTTTCTAAGTTTCAGGCAGAAAGAACAGTCAAAATGCAGGCAGGGGACAGGACAAAGCACTAGGGACAAAATGTATGTGGGGAAAGAACAAAAAGAGGGCGCACAGGCCTAGTGCATTACCATAAAAAATGTTTTAATAAAAAATAAAGTAGGTGTTGTACTCACAAACGACAATATAGTCAAGGCACATCATAAAAGAACAGCTGGATCAACACCGCGCTGAGTAACAGTCCGCAATAGGGAGTTTAGACATCCAAAAGGCTGACGCGTTTTGAGGACTTGCCTCTTCCTCAGAGCCAACTGACCAAATGTCTGCTCCCTCTTTTATATGCTCACTACTAGTTAAACCAAAGGTCACATGGGCCGTCCTGGACACTCCCCTGTGCAGGTGGAGGAGTCACAGGGGCACTCGACATAGTGTAAGTAAACACGAAAGGTCTATAAAAAAAATATATATATATATATATATATATATATATATATATATATATGTGTATAAATAAAACCATTGAAACTAGTGACAATCATAAAAATCATATGAACCATAAGAAGTGTGCACAGTGAACAATGAATAAATAAATGGAAAGTTACACATATATAAAAAATAATAAAAATCCTTCCCTTGTGATGCACTGCACTGCTCGCCTTTAAATAAATGGATGGATGGATGGATGAGCAACGCTACGAAGCTGCCTAGTGCTCTGCTTGCCATAGACAACCATGAGACATGGATTTAATATAGAGAGTAGATCTGAAACCCAGCAGAGACACTTATTAATCATAGAGATGCAGCCTACAGGGTGTGTGCCTCTCATTCTAGTATAGTCATATGATGAGACGTAGGCATGTGTGGCAATGTAGTGCACCATGGATGGATATGCATATGCAATACTATATACAAGAACAAAGGAGATAAATCACTAGTAAAACATAAATGTTGATATAAAACGTTACAAAAAACTTCTTAATATGGCTCACAAAGTTTAAATAAAATAAAATTATATAAGTATTGTTACAATATAGTATAATATCTGGTAAAATTGGTATAGTGTATGGTATATGTGTGTATGCATAGACATGGAAGCATAAGAAATATAAATATATAGGAAAAAAAAAAAAAAAAAAAATTATAATAAAAAAATAAATAAATAAATAAAATAAAATAAAATAAGAAATGTATGTGAAATGTTTTGAAACAGCAATGTTTTACTATGTAATAATCATTTTTTTAAAAATTTTGCCGCCGTACGTCCCGACGTCACAGGGACCGGAACACGGAAGTCGGATGCTGGCATCGGCCGGAGGAGATGGCCGGGGGCGCTGCAGGGGACGCATCGCGGGAGCGAAGGACAAGGTAAGCGCTGTAGGGAATCCCTGTGCAACGCTGCATGGTAAGCCCGAGTGTATCTTGGGGTTACCGCTTTTGGTACTGAAACTTTACCCCAAGCTACACTCGGGAATACCGCTAGGGAGGTTAAGGAATAGGGATCATGAGAGGTAGATTTGGACCTAATTACAAAGCCTGCTCCAGTTTTTTGATTGGCAACTAATCCAATGACTGAAGTGATTTGGATTTTTTGATTACATCCAAACAGGCCTTTTTTCTCATAGTATAGGTGCAGGAACTCCCCCCTTCTGAGTCACCCCTTGGTTCTACCCTCTACCTACCTCCCAGTACTGCTCCTTTTAGAGAACACAGAGCCAAGTGTCATTCTGTATGGAATTTGCCAATGGTAACAAGAATAGGAGTAAAATAGATCCCTTGCACCTAACAACAATAGCCCCCCCCCAAGCAAAAATAGATTTCCCCAGCAACAATGAACCCCCACAACACAATACCACCCCAGCAACAATAGATCTCCAACAGCAACAACAGATCTCCAATCAACAAACAAAAATAGACCCTTCCCTCAATCGTAGATCCCTTTCTGCAACAACTGACCTTCCAGCAACAATAAATCCCTCTACAACAATAATAGACCACCAAAGTAGATCCCCCTCTAGTAACAACAGTTCCCCCAGCAACCAGTGTCAATAGACCCTCAAGAACACCCCAACACTCCTTGTCATTACATTCATTCAGTGCTGGAGGTGCCAGACCTGCGTTCCCCCACGTTCCTGCTGAAAAAAAGCCCTACATCCAAATCTACCTCCCTAAATTCCTGTTCTGTGCCATTTAGAGCACAGTGTATCTGACTTCCTTAAAGCCCAAACTGAACTTTCAGTTTAAATCAGCTAAATATATTCCATTAAAAAAAAAAACATCCAATGCCTAAGTAGAAAAGCCTTTCCCATGCCAGCATGCTGCAGAGAAGGACCCTTACTCTCTGTGGAAGAAGTACTCTCTACCAGGGGTGGACTGACAACTCATGGGGCCTCCGGGCAATAGGGGATCATGGGGCCCCTGTGTCCTTGCCCAAACTCAAAAAAGCCTATGAAAAAGGTACCAGGGGCATCTCATGGGGCCCCCTACTGACCCCCCAGGCAATAGGGGATCATGGGGCCCCTGTTTCCTTGCCCAAACTAAAAAAAGCCTATGAAAAAGGTACCAGGGGCATCTCATGGGGCCCCTACTGACCCCGGGCCCTCGGGCAGTGCCCGAGCTTCCAAATGGTCAGTCCGCCCCTGCTCTCTACTGAGGTCTGACTCACCCCCCCTGCTGTCCAATCAGCAAGAAGCATGAGCTCACAGTACACAGCTCACAGCTGTTTTTTATCTGGGAACTTTACGTGTTAGAACTACAGAATAACAGGCGGTGCAGATAGAAGGTGTCTGTAAGAGAATTGATCTGAGCTGTGTGCTGTGTGAGAGCATAGTTGCCAACATTTTAATTTTGTTTAGGGACACTTTTTTTCATGTATGTTCAGAAAGACAGTGTAGGGGGGAGCAGTATGTTAATTAGGGGTTCGGCATTCATTTGTGGGCATGGCTTAATAAGAACCAGAGGATGGCGGCGAGCAAAGCGGCCACACCAGAAAATGGGTGTGATTTAAATGACACTAAATTATGGGCGTGGCTTAAAGGGGTGAGGTCAAATGGAGTCTGAGATTCTCTGGGGTCCCCCCCTGCGATTTTGCTCTCCACCCCAACATCCCAAAAAAACAAATAAACACAATCATAGACTTATCTAAAAAAACTTAATGTAAACAAAAAGAACTGGTTCACACTCACTGATTGTTTGCTGGAGGTTACAACACATCATTACCGCTGATTGGTTTCTGGACGTTACTGCAGTTGGTACAGGGCTATGGTCTGAGACTGCAGGCGTAGTACAGGAGTTGGTCAGGGGACTGCAGGCATGGTACCGAAGTTGGTCAGAGCCTGCAGGCGTAGTACAGGAGAGGGTCAGAGACTGCCAACGTAGTACAGGAGAGGGTCAGAGACTGCCAACGTAGTACAGGAGATGGTCAGAGACTGGTGGCGTAGTACAGGAAAGGGTCAGAGACTGGTGGCGTAGCACAGGAGAGGGTCAGAGACTCACTCCTCCATCACAGCCAAATGAGACAACCCCCACCCACTGCTCCCCACCCCCAAAAAAATGTACTCCTCTCAGGCCATGACTACTGTAATCATAGCCTTAGAGTAGCTTTTTTTTTGGTGGGGGAAGTGGGTAGGGGTTGTCTCATTTGGCTGTAAGAGGGAGTCTTTGTTTTTTGGGGGGATTATCATGACCTGAGAGGAGGGGGGGAGAAGCAGGTGAGGGTTTTCTCATTTGGCTGTGATGGAGGAGTCAGTCTGTGTTTTGTTTTTGGGGGGAGGGAATTATTACACCCCCAAAAAAAACAGAGACTCATGCCTCCATCACAGCCAAATGAAGCAAACCCCACCTGCTGCTCCCCCCCCCCCCAAAAAAAAAAAAAATTTGCTCCTCTCAGGTCATGATTACCCCCCCAAAAAAAAGTCTCTCACAGCCCTCCCCCCCAAGAAATAAAAGCCCAATCGCCACTCCCAAAAAGTTAGCAACTTACCTGAATGGTCAAGTCATCATCCACTCCCAGGCTGGCTGGTGCTGCACCTTTTCCTCAAGTCCTTATCTGGTCAGGTGTGTCTCCTCTCTGTGTCCACCTGTCCCTGCAGCTCCTGAGTCCTCTCTGCCTGGTCCTGGTCAGTGTGTGTCCTGGGCTTGGTCCACTCTGTAGCAGCTTCCTCTGCCTTTCATGTGCTCCTACTTAGACTGAGGAGGCTAAGGCAGGCTGACACAGTCACCCCTCGGGTGGCCATGCCCCCTCACAGTAACAACGAATCAGGATGGGAGAAGCAGTCACATGACTTCCTGTCTCATAGCTGATTGGTAGTGCCAGGCAGGGGAAGGACAGGGAGAGAGGGCAGAGGATCGCAGGGAGCGAGGGGGACAACAAAAAATGAACACACTGCAATGGACCAGCTGCCGCGGCGGTCTATGACAAAGTAGACCTATCCGTGACAAAACTCTATTTTCGTGATTCAGCCCAGGACAAGGACTGTCGATGACAAATGTCATAAATCCATTAACGTCCCATGAGCGGGCATTTTGGGGCTGTTGGCAACTATGTGAGAGGAGGAGGGAGGGGGAGAGCAGACAGCCCAGAGCCGACATCAATCAAACACAGGAGAAGGAAAGGAGGTGGATCCAGACAAGATTGTCGGTATAAGAATCCAGAGAAGAATGTAGCCCCTCCCACAAGTATTTACCTTGATTTTAACAGAAAGAGTGCACTTCTCCGAGGGGTGGAAAGATTTTTTATATATTAGCAGCTCACAGGGAATAGGATAAAGTTAAAAAAAGAAAACCCATACTTCTCTTTTAACCCTACTATATCAGCCATTTATAGAATACACTGTTTTAAAATGGTATTAAACTCCTAAAAAACATTTATTTTATTACAATTTACCAATATTTTGATGTGGTGGCTGCATTAGTTTCCTTTTTAAGGCCTCTTTCACATGAACGCTCTGGTCGGGTTTATCTATCCGTTTTTCAGGGGAGCCAATCAGAATTTCCATTCTCCTCTATGCAGTAGCAGATCTAAACGAACATGTGTCTGTTTACACCCGCCTACATTCAATCCAATCTACTAAAAGCAGACGGATGGGGATCCATCCATCCAGATGATCAGATCTGATGGCAGCCGGGTGTAAACAAACAGGCGGTCCATTTACATCTAACTATCTATGGAGAGGATCGTGCTGTATAAGTGGAGTGGACACGGACCTGTCATGCTCAGTGGGGATCGCCAGATGAATCAGCCAGTAAGCATGTTATTTTTTAACTCCCTTTAGCAGAACATGCTGTCCAGACAAAGTAGCAGTTAGATGTTGTTGAAACAAACTATTTACCACTGACATGGGTGCATAAAATGATCCATTTATCCCAAGAAAAAATAACAGTTTGCTGTAACTGTTTCTAAATCTCTTATAAAATCTGCTAGTACATCTAGCACTCCCCTCCTCCCAGACTGACAATGCTGCTGTTCAAATGTGCCCTGTGCTCCTTCATCCAGAGTAGGTATACTCGAAGTCCTCATGCACACTGGACGTTTTTACAGCTGCTGTTTTTGGCTTTTGACATTTCTTTCTACAGCTAGTAAACCCCCCAGCATGTTATCCTATGCCCATGCACACACAGACTGTCATCAGTGTTTTTTGGCTGGAAAAAAAACCAGGACTAGTGGGTTCCTACAGGAGTTTTTTTTAGTTGTTAAAACGCTCTAACGGTGAAAAACGCTGAAAAAACGTGGCACAACATGGTAGAACTCCGCAAACTGGCCTTTTTGGATTTTTTTTGACCAGAAAAAAATGTTTTGGTCTAAAAAACACTAAAAACACAAACACAGAAAAACACAGGAAAACGCAGCTTAACGCGGCAAAATGCGGCAAAATGCTGATAAACGCTAATGCAAAAACGCTAAAAAAAGCCGAAAAACTCACGTTTTTAACGTGACTTTACACAGTTACCAGGATTATCAAAACGTCCAGTGTACATGAGGACTAATACAGGAGGTGTGATACTGGTCATATCACCAAGTGAAAACAAAGGGAAAAAAGCCATAAAAAAACTAATACAGACATAACATCTAATAATTAGTAAGCTGCAATATATTACATTTTTAGTTTTGGGGTTAATACTGGTTTAATTAATTTTGAGAAGCAGCAGCAAAACATAACCCTTTGTATCAATTCAAACAACCTTTATCCACCACAGCACTGCACCAGGCAGAGGACATTGATCCTCAGTGAATAAAAGGGGGCTGTTATAGATCTGCCTAACTTTCTCACTCTTAGTAGATATATACCAACCAGAGGTGGACTGACCATTTGGAAACTCGGGCACTGCCCGAGGGCCTGGGGTCAGTAGGGGGCCCATGAGATGCCCCTGGTACCTTTTTCATAGGCTTTTTTGAGTTTGGGCAAGGACACAGGGGCCCCATGATCCCCTGTTGCCCGGGGGGCCCCATGAGTTGTCAGTCCGCCCCTGATACCAACCATATCCAGACAATTCTTATCGCTGTATGTCCCTCTCTTGAATTGTCATGACATTACACGTTCATAGTGAACATGACTGTATCACTTACCCTAGGTTCACACCTAAGCGTTTTTTTGCAGCGTTATGCAGAAACACAGTACAGTCCATTTAACATGATTTCCTATGGGACACGGTCACATCTCCACGTTTTCACCCGGGGCGTTTTTCGGAAAAAGATCAGGGACTTTTCTTAACGCAAAAAGTTGCATGTTTGGTTCTATAGACTTCAATGGAAACGCTGCAGAAAAGCATGTAGTGGGTTTGTGCTGTGTTTTTGATGCGTTTTGCATTATAAAATCTGCCTAACAACAAGAAAAAAAAATTAACGCAAAACGTGTCAAAAACGCAGCAAATACGCATGAGCAAAAATGCACTGCAGAAACGGATCAGATGCAAACTGCATAGGTGTGAACCTAGACTAAAAGGTAGTTTATCAGGCAAACCCTTCTGTGCTACAAAATCAATTGTGAGACACCGGCAGGATTGTTTAAAGTTTTTATGTGTCGCCTTAATGCCCCCTACACACTATAAGAAAATCGGACGAACGTATTCGCCCGACGAGCAATCATGCAATTTTCTGACGGTGTGTACATCATTTTCAACAGCCGATTCCGATCTTACGAACGAAAATAAACGATAATGCAAACAGAATGTACGTTTTTCGTTTAATGTGTACAGTTTTCGTAGGAGAAGAATTGGATACGAAAGAGCGCGCATAATTGGAAGCTGCTTATGACCCGGTAGAACCTGAAGAAAAAATAAACACGACGGAATATTTGTAGCATTAAAGACATTAATGTCATTAAACAGTTCGGATACGTTATCCATGATACCAAAAATTTGTCACAAAAGATTCCTCGCTGAGGGAAAACAAATATGGCACCAAAAGGCGTGGTTACAGGGTCACACATACATTACATCATTTCCACAGCTACGTTACGTTCGTATGCAATGCCTTTATATCGTACAATATTCTCATGCATAAAAGCACATCGCTTTCAACCAGCAGCGTACAATCGATGATAACCGGACCATCGTTCATCTGATTTTCTTATAGTGTGTACGGGGCAAGTTTCTCACCGACATTTGGTGTGCGGCTCCAGGGTTTATGGCTTATGTGAAGAAAAGAAACTTTTTGGTTTTGTTTGCTCAGAATCTTAATAGGTTCTGTTTGGGCCCTGGAGCCTTTGTAGAACTTTGGCTGCCCATACATTATACAATTATCTTCCAATTTTCTGCCCAATTTCCTTTAGATTTACCTTCAACTGTGTAGTGCAAGGGCCTGCCTAATTGGATACAACTGAAAGTTTTGTTTAGGTTTGTCCTCCTATTATATGGTTTTTGGTAAATCTAAACCAAAAATCTCCAGATAATTGTATAATGTATAGCCAGCCTTTGGGTATTCTTAGATCCACATCTCAGCTGGAATCCAGACCCCATTATTAGCCTCAGCTGGCCACAGATTCTTTATATATGCAAGCTGATCAATGCCCAGGTGCTGCCAGAACACTAATGCAAGCCATGGAGTCGAATTCCAAACTAATTTTCTTTAGAAAATTGGAAATTTTGTTTGTTTTGTAATCTGATTGTGCCACCATTGATTTCAAAATTCAACCAACCAAGCCTTCAATTTCCCCTCATGTTGCTAGAGAAAAGAATTTTCGTGGTCAAGAATGTTCTTTTCTTTCCAGGTCACGGCTCATGCTTATTTCTTTCTCGTTTACATTTCTTGCATGATTCTCCCATCATTGATTCAAAATTCTTTCATTTTTCAAAAAATTTCCAACATGCCCGATCACTCAAATTTCAATGGTCTCACAAAAATCGACCGTTTCTGTGACCCACTAATGGTTAGAAATTCGAACAAAAATTCTTAGAAAAGCACACCATCCCTAATTACTCTATTCCATTAATATATGGTTATTTTGCAGGCCTACCAATGTTTCAACAAGCCCCCATTTGTGATTTTCTCCATTTTTGTGTATGTGGGGCTTTTATGTCCCTGCTGAAAGTAGAAAGCTTGTAGGACTATTGTGAGTACTGGCCAACTCAAATTATATTGGTTCTATCCATATGTTTGTTACCTGCTCGTGGAGTCACTTACATATTTCCCATTGTAGGATCTTTTCATACTACATTTGGCCTTTGAGTCTCTTTTGTTCCGCCTCATGCTCTGGCCCCCTATGCCCGCTCTCCAGACTTCCTTGCCGTTGATCCGCCATTTCCACGCAAGTCTAGCTAAAATAAACATATATATTTTTTGTCTACTATATGTATTTTTTATGTTTCTGTCTGTATACTTATTTTGTATATTCTTACATGCAGTAGCACTAATCTCCGCTGACATTCAAGTTACAGTCCTGAAGAAGCCAAATGCACAGGCGAAACGCGTTGACCGTTCTTTGATCAATGTATATTGCAGTTATTGTAATTATGTGCTTAGTCATCCACATATATGCGAGGGAGGCATTTTGTTTATAATAATGTTTTTCTTCTTTTGGCTTCTTTTTGGGGGTATGTTTGTATCATGAGTCCTATAAGGAATATATGACTCTTTTATGTCAATAAATGGCTGTATGTATTTTACTGTGTGGTCTCTTACTGTGCCCAAAGAATTCATCTTTGCCATACTTAGTGTCCGGCCTTTTTTCTTTGGTTTACGTGAAAGCTATAGCTTTAGAAATGGCAGTATATATACAGGGATTTTTTTTATTTTTTATTTTTACTAGTAATGGCTGCAATCAGCGACTTATAGCGGGACTGCGGCATCCATTCTGACACTGGGGGGAACTGACTTGGTGTCACTGACATCCCAGTGACACCAATACAGTGATCAGTGCTAAAAAAAAAGCACTGACACTGTACTAATGGCACTGGGCAGGAAGAGGTTAACATGAGGAGTGATAAAAGGGTTAACTGTGTGCTGGGTGTGTAAACAAAACAGTTTTACTAGGGGGCCGTGTCAGTGTTCTTTGTATGGCTTTGGATGGCTGTGCTGTGCACAGCCATCCAAAGCAGTGTGCCTGAGCTGATAGGAAGGAGAAATGTTAGTAAACAAAACAGTTCTCCTCCCCATCGGAGATCCTCAGAAATCACCGGGCACTGCGAGTAGTCACTGGCCAGGTGATTTTGCGCACCCGTGCCACCCTGTAGCAGTACTTCTGCTATAGGATGGTCGGGAAGTGGTTAATGTACCAACTGTTGTTTCCTTCCTTGAAAAGCAGGGGTTTTATTCTCTCTTGAGAAGAGGAGATTAAGGGTGGATATGATCAACACGTATAAATACATCAGTGAATCATATAGTGAACTCGGTGTAGAGTTATTCACCCTGAGGTCATCACAGAGGACAAGGGGGCACTCCTTACGTCTGGAGGAAAAGAAATTAAATCTCCAAACATGGAAAGGTTTCTTCACAGTGAAAGCTGTGAAAATGTGGAATAGACTCCCTCAAAGAGCCCTGGTTCTGGCCAGCTCAGTAGATTGCTTTAAAAAGGGCCTGGATTCTTTCTTGGATACACAGAATATAACTGGATACTAACACCCTTTTATGCAGGTAAAGTTGATTCAGGGAATATCCAATTGCCACTCAGGAAGAAATTTATTTCCCTGCAGGAGCAAATTGGATCATGCTTTTCTGTTTTTTTTTTTGCCTTCCTCTGGATCAACTGTGGGTATAGGATTACAACTTTTGTCTTTTTTCAGCCAGGACTAACTATGTAGCTATATGTAACTTTGTAAGCTTTTTTACATGCTGGAGATCGCTGTGAGCAGACAGGTAGGTGTACTTTATTGCAGAAGAGACACTGTATGTCTGTTTTACAATAGTAGCCTGACTCCTCGCAGTCTATTATAATGAAGACCTCAGTTCTGCTTTAAGCAACTCCTCTCTGCCTATGATTGGACAAGCAAGGAGAAGAAGCATACTGATTAGGCAAATGCTCTTCTCTCTCCTTGTGCAGTGCAGCAGAGCTAACCCCCTCCCCCCAGGCAGGGTTGCCAACCATCAGTAAATTTACGGACAGTTTGCAAAAATCACTTATTTTTTTACAACTGTATGTAAATATCAGGAGCTGATCAGTTTTCAGGCTGTGTTGACTTTTGTAAGTGTAAACCAGTCAGATTACTTGCTATGGGTATTGTCAGCGTTTCCATATTGTGTTTATACTGTTCCAGTGTTGATTGTCCTAATTTGTAATGTAATTTTTCAGGTTGTGAGTAAAAAAATGTGTTCCGTCAGTAAATTTTCCATTTTTTGTCAGTAAACAATGCTGTGGAAGGTGGCAGCACTGCTCCCAGGTGAGGTTTACTGCAAAAGAAATCGCAAGAGGCTGATGTCAAGACATATTCTGGCACTTGCTCTAGTTGCATTTGAAATTTATTATTATTATTATTATACAGTATTTATAAAGCACCAATAGTTCGCTCAGCGCTGTACATTACAAAGGGGGACAGAACATGCGACAGAACAATACCAATACAATGCAAAACATGAGGGGATCGAGGGCCCTGCTCTTTCGAGCTTACAATCTAGGACATTAAAATTAAATTGCTTATATTTTAAAAATGTGTTTAATTTGGTCTAAAGTTTCTCCGTAATAGTAAACTTGGTGTCCAAATTCTTCTTTTTTCTGCTTTTTGGTTAAATGCTTGAAACACTGTTATTACCATTATTGGTTATGCTGTTCCTTTATATTTCAGCATATGTTGATTAGTGGAATGTATGAGTTGAGTTGCATCTGGATATCTAAAGAATTACACAGATTTCTAAATAAGGCGTATTGACTGACCCATTTGACTTTAGCAGAGTTGCTGTGCTTACTTGATAGCATTAGTTACTTAGTAAGTGCTTTTACTTGTTGCCTTGAATTACTATTTAATTGGTTTTATCTAACACCATTAAATACATATTTTTATTTTTCTTTATTGTAATATGTGAGTTTGGCATATCATTT